TAGAAATCTTTGTCATTATTGAAAGTTATAGTCTAATTCCCCTCTCTTTACCTTTTATTATTTCAGTCTCTCCCAACTCTATATCATTAGGATGAATTAAAGTGAAAACCCACTTACTGATTCATCGTAACAATATGCATAATAATTAATAATATTAAGATTTACCTCTTTTCTCTTGTATAAAGTATACTCTAGCATTATTCTCTTTTGTTACAATTCTCTTTTATTGAGAATTTACTGGATTTCTTTAGACTGATTACACAAATTGATATTGAATTTTATTTTCTTGCTATAAATAAAGTAATCTTCTTTAATAACTATTGATTGATAGTTGCCATTCCATATTATATTTCATATTTTTAAAACTGATCCTTTTGAATTAAGATTAATTTTTAAAGTTACAAGAGCATCTTTAGTAAAAGCTATATAAGAAATAGCATTATCAAAAATAAATATATTCATATTCTTCAAATATATCTATTCAAAGATATTTATTATCTATATGAATATAAGTCAATTAAGTTTAGCAATCTTTTAAATAAAAATTTGATGATAAATAATAATATTGGGCTATTTATATTCATCTGTATAAATATCTTTTTGAAGATATTTATATTGAAAATTAAATTTATATATCTGTTAATGAGTAGTTTAGATTGAGATATGTTAGATAGATTCAATATTTAATTAAAAAAGAATATGCTACTTGAAATATTTCTTGATTATTATTAAATCTATCTTGAATTTCTAAATATATAGATAAGTAGCTAATTAGAGAGAAATTAGCTCATCATGAAGTAGACTTTTAAAAGGAAATCTTTTTTGAGTAATTAGCTAGATTAATTTCTCTTTCATGTAGATATTTGCTCACTTTCTTATATATTTTGCAAGTTATGATTTACTATTAATTATCTCTAAAACTATTTTTGCTACCTTAATTTTCTTTTTATTATTAAGTCACAATCAGAAAAAATAAAGAGCTATCATATAATAAGTAATTTGAGTTTTAGAAAGTATTTTATCAAGCATTATTCTGTTTATAAATTTAATTATCTTATATATATTTTTATTTTTAGTTAACTCTGATTTAGTACTATTATCACTTTCAATATCTTTACTAGTAATATGAAAGAATTATGAAATTTTGAACTTTCTGCTACTACTTCTCTTAATTTTTTATTTTTTCTTTGCTATATCTATTTCAAATTGTCAGTATAAATAGCTAAATATCCTTTTTTCTCAAAGCTCACTGCTATCATTACAAAAAGCTAATTAATTATAAAATTCTCATTTGTCTCAATATTATCTAACTTATTATTATCCTTTTAAAGATTATCTTTGAGATTATCATCTTCAGAATTGATATTTTCATATTTCTTATTTAAGCCAAAATCAACAAGATTCTTAGAAGAGAAAATATTTGAAGAAGTGATAATATGTGAGTATTCTTTACTTGAATCAAGATCAACTAGATTCTTGAAATGAGAGTAAGTTATAAACAGATCAACTAGATTCTCAAGATGAGAGTAAGTCATAGATAAGTCAATAGAAGAAAGAGAATTATAAAGAAAATCAAGAATAAGAGAGAATTTTATATATGCTAGTCAGATCAAATGAGCTACAAATACTCTTTCTTATTGATATCTTTTAAGCTTTGAAAGTCTTGGCATAATAAGAGAATAATATTCTTAAAATAATAAAATAAATCTCTTAATAATAAAACAACTATCTTAATCAAATAAAATAATCTCTCTCAGCATAATAAAATAACTCCTTTAAAATATATTCTTTTTAAAGTATGCAGTATTACTAAATACTTTGAAAAGTATGTATTATTATTATATATAGCCCAAATTGATATTATAATAATATCAGCCTAAATTATAATTAATATAATTAATTTTAATCAATAAAATCACAAATACATAATAAAATTACATATAAAATTAATATATCTCTGTGCTAATTTTCTGACTTTATTATAAAAATTAAAAAGTTTGATATGTTATAACTTCTTAAAAAAAATTAAAATAAAAAAATACTCTTACAGAATTATAGCTTATTAAAGATCTATCAATTTGTAAGAGAATTTTTTATTTTAATTATCTGCTCAAAAGTTATAAAATTTTTTGTAAGTTAGTTAAAAGTGAATATCTTATACTATCTCATACTATAAGTTACTTTAAAAAAATTTTTGTCAATTTATAATTTGATTGATTAATACTTTTCACATAATATGTGATTTCATATAATAATTAATAATATTACCAATCATAATTATATTTTATCATTATCATTTCTTTTATTTTTAGTCTTTCTTTTACTAATAACTCTTCTTTTCTTTAATGAAAAAGATAGTAAATGATTCTATTATGTTCATAGAGGAGGTATCAAAATTTTGTTATTATTTTTAGTATCTCTTGAAAAGATTATTTCATGGTAGATTAATAACTTTATATATAATATTTGATCAAGATAAGATATAATAAAAATATTATGAATTATGGGTGGAAGAGACTAATATAATCAAAAATATAATATAATAAATATTAAACTATAATTATAATGAGATTAAAAATAAGTAATAAGAGTATATTTATAATGTGATCAGCTAGAATATGATTTGGAATCATAATATAAGGAATGTATAATAATAAATAAAATATTATTAATAAAAATTATTAATTTATAATATTATTATATTTAAATTATTATTTCATCTTATTATTATTTAATTCATTAGTTTATTAATTATTTATTAATTCATTTTATTAATTTTATTAATTAACTTCTTGATTATAACTAAAATATATTACTTTTATATATTTTAGAGATTTTATAAATATTACTTTTGTTATGATCTAAATATTACTTTTATTAGTATTATAATATTAGTTTTATTATAATAGTATTGCTAGTTTTACTATAATAATTTTACTAATTTTGTTATAATAATTTCATTATAAATATTATGCTTGTAAAATTATCTAAAAATATCTATTAATAATATTATCTTAATTATTATCTAATAAAATATAACTAAATAATTATCTAATAAAAATATAAATATAAAATAACTAATATTAATAAATTATATATATTATGTAAATATAATTATATAAAATTTTAATATATAATTAAATAATTTTAGTTATATATAAAAAAATAAGTATCAGTTATAAAGAGATTATTAAGAATATTATTATTACTTATCCTATTTCTAAAATTATTTATTATATTAATTATAATTATACTAATAATATAAAAAAATAAGTATTTTAAATATGTCAATATTCTTCTTTTTTATTATTGATTATCTCAATAAATCTATTAGAATTTTATTATAGTAAATTCAAGAGAATAATAACAAAAAAATACAGATTAATAAGTAAAATATAATTTATTATGTAATTAATTTTTTTTAAATTTTCTGAGTTTACTAGATCATATAATAAATTATATTTTATAATATAAATTTGCTAATAGTCTGTTCTTTATTATATAACTTAGAAATATATTTCAAAATTATTAAACTTAATAATAAGAAATAAATTAATTTAGAAAAAATAACTCTTAACTTTTATCAAAAATATATCTTTATAATTGATTTTGATAATAAGATTCTTGAATAGATACATAAATTTCTTTATTCTATCTAAAAGTTAATTATAAGTGAAATTATAGTTATAAATAGAAGAAAAAATTACTATCAAATCTATAAATATTCTAATATAATTATATATTTTTTCATCATTATTTATTTTCATATTAATATATCCTTCATCAATATATTTTTAGTTCTAATAAGCTATTAATAGTTGAGATTTGAAATAAATTTTAATAGATATTTGAAGAGATTAATTTTAAAATATATGAATATCATAAAATAATTAAGCTATTTGAGTCAATTCAGACTCAAGTAAAAAAAGAAGCAGAGATACAAAAACTTCAAATTGGTAAACTTATGAAAAGAGTAAGACAAGTATTGGAAAATTGAAAATAAAGATGATATAGAAACAATCAAGATATTTATTACATGTTTAAATAAATCATTAACTCCAGTTTTTAATAATAAAAAATATTAAATTTAAACAATTACATATATATAATTATTATTATATATTTGTTATAATTATCTCCGTATCCTTAATTATTGTTAATTTTTTGTGTTCGCTAATTTTAATTATCTTGTTCGCTATTATTATCCGATAATATGTTCAGCCAATAATTACTTTTCACATGATATGATCTGGAACGAATTCTATGTCACGTGAAAATACCCGGCTTTAGTGGACCCCTCTATAGAGAAAGACGATCATCCGGAAAAATTTCTGCCGAAAAGTAGTGTGATACACGCATTGTGCAACCGAATACATTTCCCACATATACCTATGCTGGTAGAATTTCGCTTTTTTCTTGTGTTCCATCCGCAATCTACCAATAACATTCCATGAAAACAAAATATATAACTCGAAATGTCCATCAAATCGTCTAGGCGGAAAGCTAAAACCACACGTGATTTTTGATTATTGATAACCCGAGTTTCGGTGGAACGTTCTCCGATTAGGTCTCGAGTGCATTATTTCCATGCTAACAAATAAAATGATTCCGATCGTGAAAAATTATTCATGAGCAAAAGTTTTTATCGTGATTTTAAAACTGCATGAAGTTAAAATTATGTTGTCAATCCGCCTGTCCAACTTGCAGTTGTGTCCGGAACCCAAAGCCAGTCTCGAACTTTAGGCACATGATCATTAGGGGATAACCTTAATTCGTGTAATATTTTTGTTTGATTTTCAAGCCCATCCTAAAGATTTAATTTATCGTTACATTCGTTACATTGAAGATCCTGATGAAATTTACATATACATGAAAAATACTCACTATTAAAGCATATAACAGTTCAAAAATTTCCAAATAGTCTGCAATTTCAGCAAATGAAAATGGCAATCGGGCGGATTTGATCTGTGAGGTTTTGTAACGATATTTTTCATTAAGCGAAAATTCACTTAATGTTATCCTATCACCTAAATAAATGTTGCATATAAAAATATGTTTTTAAGGAAAACCAAGTGATATAGAGCAATATAATAAAGACATTACCGATGCATTGTATCATATATATATGCACGTTTTTAGCCATCTCGGCAGGTTTATCCAAATAATTTCTTAATAATGAAACCAACCCAAATGTTGCCTCCTTCAAAAGTTTTTCTGCGTCATCTTTTATGTGTTTTTCATCAGGCTTGCTAGGACTACCGGATACTTCAATAAACACAACTGCTTGGTTACACGAAACCTTGATACCTATGCCATCGGCTTTATTCATTACTAAATCAAAGTCCGGAAAAATCTTCAACATTTCTTTAATGCCTTTTACTTCAATCTCAATCCAGCTAAATTTATATCCTGGATATTCCGATTGTAATGCCTTAAAGAGAGGAACAATTCTTTCCACGGTATAGGTTCTCTCATTTATATTACGATCCAATGGACATAATCGCGTCGTATGATAACTAATTTTAAAATCACATATTAATTTCGTTATGCTGAATAAAACATAAAAATTCATAGGTAAAGTAAATATACCCACAAGTCGTAAAGAATTAGTTCGCATACTTGACGAAAATGATGATGATCTTCACGATCCGATTCAATTTGTGCCATAATGGCATTTTTAAATTCTTTCTTATCAGTCTAAACGAGAGTTTTTTAATGATATACCTTGAATTATATAAAAGACATGCCTGTGATAACTTACCGAAAGTACTTTGATAAGCCAGTTATAAATTATATCCGGAATTTTTATAGAAACCTCCTCAGTTTTTAAAATTGCATGTTGCTCGTTTGTATTTATTGTTATATGATTAGGTAAGTATTGCGCTGAGTTTTCAGAAAGGGTCAGTTTTTGTGGTGATAAAAATAGGTGCTTTATTGATTGGCCTTGGGGATGGTGTCCTAGGCTAAATATTATCTTTCAGAAGAATGAATTACATAGGATAAATCCAATGTCAACTTACAGCATTGGTACTTCGTGTTTCTTCTGTATCTTCGCGTTTTTTTCCTTTATCAATTTTTCGCTAAATTTATATAAATATTTTATTAATATTAACATAGATCATCAATTCTTGCATTGATGTTACTTGCCTTCTTATTGTTATTATCTGAATGAGTGGATTTGAAAGAAACAGAGGAATCAGAGGAATTGGAGGAATCAAGAGTGTCGTCATCATCACTAATCACATAAACTTCTTTTTCATTTTCGTAAGCTCTCTTGCACCCTGATTCAGACGTTGAATTATCGATCTGATTTCCTGATAATTTCTGTGAATATTATATTACAAAATATTTAATTACCAACAATATTTCATACCAATGAAAGAAAGGTAAGAAACATTTTGCAGGACTATTTACCTCCTTGACCCCGCAGGGGAAATTAAATCTGAATCCTTGGATCCAATAATAACAGTTCCACCTCTGATATTTGCAACACCCAGAGAATTGCCATTAAATGTTGGTTGATAAAGGTTAATCGAGGATTTACGATCATTGTCCCAATTTTTAGCTATTTGATAATCAGGTCGCATTCCCTAGCATAAGGATATGTTAGTAATATCTTAACTGACACCCTATTCTATTTTTTTTAACCCACTGGTTCGGCCCGGAGCCTTAAGCATCAGACAACCCCGGAGGTCACCTGTGCCCCAGTGGAGCCATTGCCAGTCCAGCCCAGAGCCTTGAACATTAGATAACCCCGGAGGTCACCCATGCCCTGACAACGGCTTTATGAAAAATAGTAAATGCAGAAATCTACTCTTTAACTTTACCGATCTATATCTATGCAGTAGTTGTTTTGCTTGTTGACGTCTTTGGCCTTTTTCAGTATCGGCAATTGCTTCGAGGCACTTAATATAACACTCTGTTTTCCGTTCAAGCGGTTCTAGATCACAATCCTCTAAAAATCCTTTAATAGTCCACTTTGATTTTTGCTCAAAGTACTTATGGTAAGAATATTTGTGCATCTATTTCAAAAAGAAATCTAAATGAGTTTATGTCCCTCGCAAAATAGAAAGAAAAAGTCGTAGACATAGAAAAGGAGCACTCTAAAACGTTGCGTCCGGTTCACAGGAGAAGAACAACAAGGAGGACCAGAAAATCACCTTGGCAGTAAAAAAAGAAGCGCGTTAAAGAAATATGTTGATCGTCCAATTAAAAATGTGCATATTATAGTAACTAAGTGAAATCGGATCACACGATCACTATTTTCTTAATTGCCCTTTCCGCATCGATTAAAAGAAAGTTAAATTACCATACAGAATTCGCCGGAAAACCAAGTAAGGGTGCCAAACAAAATTTGCAACTCCTCAATCCCCAAGACTGATCCAAACAAAAATCGCCTTTATCAGTATGCCATCGAACATAAAATGGATCCCGAGAAATTTTCGGTCATTACTGAGGATGAGAAAAATAGATGGGCCATGGGGTGTTTTCCTGCCGACTTGGAAAGAGATATACGCTTTTATCGCGGAGGAATAAAAAGGAACGAAGATACCAGAAAATATCGTAAATTTTTAACAGGCTAATCGGAGAAGAGTTATTACGTCGCAGTATACTAAAGAGTGATTTATGTACTACATGGCTAGACAATCTGATAAAAGAATGGGAAGAAATCCATACTCAATTTGTACAAATTTTTAGCCAGACATAGAAGTTTTCTACATACGTCGGGACACTAGCTCCGCTATAAAGCTAGATAATTAACTTTACCCTTTACTTTACGTTTTAGAATGGGGCGCTTCCTTACCGCTTCAATCCTATGCATATATATAACTTTTGATCCCGAACTGGGTAAAGTACTTGAGTCCGAAGTATCTGAATTGGAAGAAGTATCCGTGGAATATTTGATCTTATTTTTCTTGCTCTTATTTTTGGAAACATCGTCATTTAATCTTCTGGATGGTGGATGTGCAGGAGGTATGTTGTGAAATATTTCGTGATGACTCTTTTGGTGTTTAATATCTTGGGCACCTGAGAGAATTTTGTTGATTATATTCATAACCTCCTCTTGAGCTAGACCAGGTTTAGATTCTGTTGATTTAGATAAGTTATTTTTAATGGAGCTAGCTTTATTGTTATCTTCTTCAATTAATAGGATACTCTTATTATCTATCTCAATTTTAGCATAGCACTTACAATTTTCCAGAGAAAATTCAAAGCTAATTTTTATCCATAACCAATCTTGTTCCAAATGATGAATTTTGCAAATTTAAAAGTCTATTACTTTGATATTATCTAATTTCATTACTTTTCTTTATACTGAAATTGCAAATCTAAGCATTTTATTTTATCTATTATATCTTTATAGAAATTCTTAACAGGATCACAGGTAGGATATATTTTATAATTTTTTTCAAGCTTATTAAACAAGTTCTTGCTAATAATATTATATTTAGATATTATATCTATTAATATTTTTACTGAGATTTTTTTTTATAAGTATTTTTATGAAAATCATGTCAAATATTATTTAATATTATATATTATAATCAAAAAAATAATAATTATTTATTATATCATTAATAATAACTAAAGTTATTATTAATAGAAATATTAATCTCTCAAATATAATTATATTTTGAAATAGTAATAATATAATATCTGATATTATTAAATAAATATTAAATAAAAAAATCTGAATCTTTTTCTATCAAGTAATAAGATCTAAGATTTAGCAAGATATTATAAACTTAATAGTAAATTCAAATATTTCTCAACAATATATTTCATGTAAGATTAAAAGAAAGTGTAAAACTAGAAAAAAACTAATTTTTAATAATATCATATCTGAATTCTTATTCTTATCTTTATCTTTATCTAGATCTAAATTTAACTTTATATCTGAATTTAATTTTAATAATAAGCTTAATATATATATAACAAAAGTATCAGATATCTTAATATTTTCTTCTTTAGTTTCTGAAATAATTAGCTTATTATTTATTATATCATAATAATTTAATATAATATTAATTATCTTATATCTTTAATACTAATTATAAAAATATTTATAATAGATATCATTCTTATCTTTATGAATTATAATAATATATTTAAAACTAATTTTCTCAAATATAATAAGTTTATTATTAGAAAATTATTAATTAAATAAATATTTATATTATCATCTTTATCTTATTAAAAATAAAAAATTACTTTCTGAATTTAAATAAGTAATTCTCTAGTCAGTAGTAGATCTTTCTTCATAAATATTAATAGTCCAACTTTATTTTTTTATTTTTAATATATCTAATATAATATTAAAAATATTTAGAATTATACTATTCAATACTATTTATTTTATAATATTTGATACAGAAATTTTTTACATTTGTCAGTCTCATATATAATATTATTATTATATTAATTAAATTTTGTATTATGAGAAAATTAATAATATTATAATTCTTAAGTTTTTTTTGAATATTTTTCAAGTAAAAGAATTTAAAAAAATTAAATTTCTTATCTTTACAGAATTCTTAATTTTTAAATAATATCTGGAATATATATTATAATAGTATTAAGCTTATATAATTCTTTTTAAAATAATTTAAAATATGAAGATTAAATTATTATAGTATTAATTATTTTAGTTAAGTTATATATTAGTTTATATATCTTTTCAAATTCAAGATTATTTTTATTTTTCTTAATATATTAAATAAGCTTTTTAATTAGATTTCATCTTATAATATATTTTCTGAAAGTTTGAATAGAAATTAAAATATATATTTGATCTTTGTTAAATTCTAATTTTTAAATTCTATTTTAAGCATAATTATAAACTTTATAATTTTTAAATCTTTACATATTTTTTTAATATAATTACTAAGCTTAACTATACTTATTTAAGAAGTTAAATTATATTAATTTATAAAATTTATAGTTATTTTTAATATTATTATTATAATATAATTATATAAACTATAATTATGAAATATATTTTTCAAATTAAAATTAATTATTTCAGATTAATATTTAAAAATTAAATAAAATTATGATTAATATAATTTTATCAGAAAATAAATATAAATAAAATATAAAATTAATTAAAAATTTTGAAATTTATAACTTTATAATATAAAATAATTAAAAATATAAAATATATTAAGAAGAATATAATATTACTTAAATATATAAGTATTATTTTTTCAAAATAAGAGATTTTAAAAAAAATTATTTATATATATTTAGTATATAATTATACTTTATATTTAAATTAGATAAGTTAAATATATAATTTTCAAGCAAAATAATTTTTGCATATAATTTAATCTATTTTTTTTATAATAATTAATTCTTTTATAATATTTTTCTAAATATTTCATATATATATATTATATAAAGAGATAGTTAATATATTATATTTATTATATGAAATATGTGATTAAATTTTTTAATGAAAAATATATTTTTCTTAATAATAATAATCTTTTTTACAAATATATCTATTAATAAAAATATATAAACAAGAATAAAATCTTATATTAATATTAATAATTAATAACTTTTAATTTTATATATATAAAATAATTATTTTTTAAATTAATCTTTTTATAATAATATTTATATAAATAAATTCAAGATTATTATATATTGTTATCATTTTAAGTTTATGTATATATAAATATTTTAAAATAATAAGAGTGACTATGTTCATGGTAATTATTTACTTTTATAACTTCAAAAGATTTTATAATTAATTATCTTCTTAATAAGATAATATATACATATTTTACTTCTAATAAAATATGATTATCTTCTCAATAAAATAATTTATATAAGTTTGCTTCTGATAAAATATTCTTTTAATAGAGTAAGAAGAAATAAAGATAAGATATGTAATAAAATATATATATTTATTAAAGAAAAATACTAATTAACTACTCTTAACTCAGTAACTAATTCTTTTTATCAAACTTAATTATTCTTCTT